GTATGGTGACTCCTCCCCCCATACACCCCGACATTGTCCTCTATGAGCAGAGATGATTGTTTCTATATTTTATATCTCTGTAATCTTTGATCTTTGTGCAGTGATCAGTCCTTATATTAAGTTCATTTATAAACCTTCATATCTTCTTCTATGTATTTGTTATTTATAGACAAACTTCTGATTTTAATCATTGACAGATTTATATTTATACAACTTTATTCTTAGTAGTTCAGTGAAGTTAGAGTTCAGAATAGTTGTCCTTTTATATACTCTGTACATTTGTTTCTCTTTGTCATTGGATTGTTACATTGATTCTTCTTTCTGGTGTTCATTACTCAGATTGTAATATGTCTCCCCCTAGAGGCTCTTAGATGCTACAACATGTGCGATTCTACCAGTGAGTGATGTTGGTGTATTTAGGAACTTCATATTCTATATATTCTTTATATATAATAACTGATCATATATTATGTTTATAAAATCCTAACAGCTCTGTAAAGAAAACATAAAACCCGGCGCACAGATCTGAGTGCAGTATAAAAGTAACTGCTTAATGAAGGTAAAATGTAATGTACTTACAGGATAAATCTCACCTATCATACATCAGATGGAAGTCCGATCTCAGCTGCTGGTCCAAGAATGTTCTCAGAATGGAAGACATGTGAAGAGAGCAGAGTCCAGTCCAGAAAGATTCCAGATCACCTCTGATGGGAGACACAGATCTGATCTGATGGCTGAGCAGTGCCATAGCTGGTTCTCCTCAAGGTCGGGACCACATCTGCTGGGTACTTCTGGGTCATGAAGTGTCAGCCATTGCTGGGCAATGCGTTTCAGAGGTTCCCTTCCTTTCTCAAGCCTAAAGGTGGAGTGGACAGAGTCCTATATATAGGTGAGTGAAGGGGGAACATTGAATGGTTCAGCACCAACTAAAACTAGGTCTACTCCATAGACCAGATGGAGGAAGCTTTTAGTCAGTTCCTTGACCCATCATCATCCACTATTCATAAAATAACACCAGTGTAAGGTTTATAACAAAATATAATACTCAGCATAGAGTACAAAGAATCCTCAAAAAGGGCTGGCACATCTTGCAACAGAATCCTATTCTCTGGATCTGAACCCAGGGCCTCTGCTGTGTCTGGTGTTGGCTTTACCTGCTGAGCCACCTTGAAACCTTGGATAGTTCCTTACCTGCTCTCATGTATAATCCTCAAGTAAACTGAGTTTCTGCTGACCTCTGAACTCATTGCTCCTCCCTTGAACTTCCTATTTAAGCTAGGCCTTTGCACTTCCTGTTTGCCAGATTATTGTGCTCCTGCCAATATCTTGCTTCCTGCTCCTTCTGTGAAACAATCCGCTCATACTGCTACCCGTGTACCGACCTTTAGCTGCTCATTCACCAACTACTCTCATCGTCTTCTGCTTCATACCTGATACCTTTGGCTGCTGACCTCGGCTTTCTCTGACTACGCTTCTGCCTGCTCCTATACTACTACTGTCTGCTTGTGTACTGAACTCACCCTGTTATACCATGAATTTGCCTGCTGTTTCAGCTACTGGACTCTGAGCCTGATCCCAGATCGTGACACCTATACTAGGCCCGGAACTACCCAAGAACCCTGAGATTATCTTTAGAAAAGCCCCAAACGTAGCAAATAAATCAAGGAAGGGAACCTCTGAAACGCATTGCCCAACAACATTTGACAATTCACAACCCAGAAGTACCCAGCAGATGTGGTCCCGTCTTGAGGAGAAACAGCTTCAGCACTGCTCAGCCATCAGATCAGATCTGTGTCCCCCAGCAAAGGTGATCTGGGATCTTTCCGGACTGGACTCTGCTCTCTTCCCGTGCCTTCCATCCGGATAACAATCTTGTACCAGCAGCTGAGATCGGACTTACATCTGATGTGTGACAGGCGAGATGTTTTTAATATCCTGCACATTACTTTTTACCTTTATTAAGCAGTTACTTTTATACTGCACTCAGATCTGTGCTCCGGGTTTTATGTTTTCTTTACAGTGCTGTTACATGGATGTCTCCCTATCCCACTGACCGGGCTGCAGGATCAGTGCATACGTCTTCTCTGGATTAACTATCAGAATAACCGGAGCTCCTTTATCACTAATAATATACAGTCCACAGCCAACTGATCTAGTTGTGCAAGTTGGTGACTTCTGTTTTATGTAAATAATCCTAATGTTTGCCTCAGAGTGAATCATTCTCTATGTCTATACAATAAAAAAACAGCCTCGCAAATTCCTATTAGATTGCGGCCTAATCTGTCTACTTACATACTCTGCAGGGAAGGTGCAATATTTCTGGCTTTAGTCTCTGAAATAATACTCTCTCATTTTTATTTCATGATAATACCGGCCTGGTCTCTCCCTCTGAAATTGCAGCCTAGTAAAAGTGTATACAAAGGGGCTGATTTATAAATGTTCTGCCCTCGATGGTGCTGAGGAGCATAGGATTTCCTATGCTCCTCAGCACCATCTCGTGGCGCTAGTATCATACAAACAGCATCAGCCCAGCGATACAATGGGTGGAACATTTATAAATCAGCCCCATAGTGTGTGGAGTCAGTGCAACATTTTTGGCTTTCTCTGTACAGTATATCCATACAGATTATGGTGAGATGGGACTAAAGCAGTAAATAAACCCCTCACTCTAATCACTGCACATTTTTTTATGTAAATGTGATAGATAAAGCGGTCCAACCTCACACATATAGACACAACATCCGAGAGAAATGATTCTGATTAAAATATCATTTATTTCTAAAATAAGCCAAAAATGCCAATAAACCCCCATAACATGTCCCATGGTGACTCTAACAACCATTGTATATAGAAGAGAAGAGTTACAAAGTAAAAGTAAAGATTAGAAAGTAGAGAGATGAAGACACGGAGATCCTTGACATGGCGGGTGGACCAAAGATCTGACCTCTTCATCTGACCTCCAATCTTGGACAGTTGTCATGGAGGACCGCCCCAAAACATAAACATGTGACCTATGACATCATTGAGTGAAGAATTTGTACAAGCAGCACATCATTCATTACAAGAGACATTCATTTCTGTCATCTCAGAACACCTCATCAGCTTGTCCCACCTCCAGACCCCCAAATACCTCATTGTAGAAGAAGGAGACCAACTGTCACTGTGTTCTACAACAAGACATTCCAAGGATCCGGAGAACAACCATTTGTTCTAATCACATCTTTCTGTAAAGTCATTCCAGCAAGTCAGCCTGTTATTCTAGAAAGAACCCAACATGAGCATAGAAGCACTTAGTGATGTCATCTCATCATTAGTAACGCAGATCAGAAGGATTTTTCTTTATCACATGAATAGGACCATAGAGGAAATGTAACCATTGTTCTGCCCCATAAGGATCATAGAGGTGCCGGGACTGAAGGGGATAATGGGGATTGTAGTCCGTCCCATCATTATATCTATATCCAATCATTGATAAATATTCTCATATACAGAGGGGGGAGGGGTGACGGGGCCATGCGGCTTCCACAAATATATTCTACTAACACCTCGGATTTACTACATATAGAGTGGAAGTTACTAAGACCGGAGCAGACACAATCTGGACCAATCAGCTTCCAGCTTTCATTTTCAAAGCTTCGCTGAAGAAGCTGAAGATGGAATGTGATTGGTTCCTGTGCTCAGCTGATCCAGATTCTGTCTGCTCCGGTCTTAGTAAATTCCCCCCATAGTGTGTAAGGAATGCCGGATATTTATTTATAAAAACCTGACAGAGGTTCCAGGCTTCCCCTCCCCCACCACAGGAAATAATTTTTATTTCTGTCTGTGTCCCTGGTGTACATTTTCCTTCATTTCCTGTCTGGTAAAACGTTGTCACCAGAACAGGAAGTGAGGGGAAATCTCTCTATTGGAGCCACGGATAGCAGTAAAAATTTTAAGGTGCAGGCTCCAGGACTGTCATCCCAATCCTCACTACCTAGTGGGTCACTTACCCAGAACAAGCATGCAGCCCGTGAAGTATGAATAATCTGAACTCCTGCATGCTTGTTCCTGGTCAGTGACACACGAGATAGCGAAGTGAAGATGACATCCCCGGAGCCTGCAGAGCCTTATAAATCAGTAATATTATTTCCAGTCCTCTGCTTCCTACTATTGGCTGAGTATTCCACCAATCAGATTCTCCACCCTGTGATGCCACCAGTCTCCGGGCAGATTTCTCACATCAGATTCCCCCCAGATACCTTTATACGTCCTCCCAATACATTTAAACCGGCATGGAGGGGCTCAGTGAAGGTGGTGGTGAAGGTGTGGAGGTGTCGGATCGGGTGACACAGATCATAAAAGGAGATCAGCCCGGCCTCATAATCCAGATCTGTCCTGACTCTGTTACTGGAGACATTGCCGGGTAATCGGATCTCATTATTGTCATGTCTCACTGCGCACTGATTATTCCACCACATTTTCTCCAAACACCAGGACTTCTTATTACAACCAATCTCTGACTGATCTCCTCCTCTCTCTATATTGGGGTAACACATCCCGACTCTCCAGAACTCTGACCCACCGACATCCACTTCCCAGTAATGTCTCCCTGAGGAGAAACTCTGACTGCTCAACACCTGAGGACACTGAAATCTCTCTGGAGTTTCTGGACGATTCAGGCTATACTCTGACCTGGCTCCAGATTTCCTGTCATCTGATAACTGTAGAAGATTACTAGCTGTGTTCACATCCAGTAATATGTCTTCAGCTTCCTGTATATAGAAGGATACATTTACCCCAGACATTATATCAGATATGCCTGTGTGTAATGTGTGAGAGATCCCAGCCACATCCAGATCCCCTCCATCATGGAGGCGTCTATCATGTCTCTCTCTGTCCTCATCACCTCCATCCTCAGTATCACACAAGTCACCTGTGTCTGATTCCTGTAAGACAGTCAGTGGATCCGTCATGTTACACAGCTCCTCAATGTGACGCATCTTCCTGGACAGCTTGTGCTTCTATATTTCCAGCTCCCGGATTATACTCTGGACTCTTTTCTCAGTCTCCTCTCTCTCTGTCATCAGTTTCTGCAGAACGTTTCTCAGTTTCTTCTTCTTCTTCTCAGAGGCCTCATCCAGAGTCTCCACCTGATGTCCTCGATGTTCTCCATCCAGCCTGCAGGACACACAGATACAGGCAGAGTCCTCAGTGCAGTAATACTCCAAGATCTTCTTATGGACGGAGCATTTCCTGTTCTCCAGGGAAGTGGTGGGGTCACACAAGACGTGTTCTGGTGCCTTGCTGTGGACTCTCAGGTGGTTGTCACACAGAGAAGCTTCACACAGCAGACAGGACTTCACAGCAGGTACAGGAGTGTGAATACATTGAGTACAGAGGACCCCGGACTCCTCCTGATCTGGATGAGCAGACAGGAAATTCTCCACAATGTTACGTAGCTTTATGTTCCTCTGCAGTGCAGGCCGCTTCTGGAACTTCTCTCTGCATTCAGGACAGGAAAATCCTCCAGACCCCCCCTGTGTATCCAGCACACGACCAATACAGTCCCGGCAGAAGTTGTGTCCACATCTCAGCATTACAGGATCTGTATAAATGTTCAGACAGACGGAACATTCCAGCTCAGCTCTCAAAATACCAGACGCCATCGCTGACAGCAGAAGAGGGAAGTGAAAGTCTCTGACACTCCTTAACCAGTGTGACGGGTTCTGTACACTCCTACACAGGGCGAGGCTGAGACTCATATTCATAGGAATCCTTATACAGGAGAACACATGTTAGCGGGAGTAAGGTGTGGCTGCTTCACAGAGGGAATCACACTTCGTGGTCTTGTAAACAGAATAACTTTTAATGGCCGGATAGGCGACAGTGGAAAATATTATTCACAGTAACAGTTGAGAGAATGGTTTCCTTGCAGGCATATAAGGCACAGATGCGCAGTACATGCAGAGAAGATACAGATTCCACTTTATCAATTGGCACTGCAGACTATATCCGTTCTTCAGGCACAGACATAATATACAAAGCACACAATGATTACTTGCCAGAGGCTGGTGTCCATAAGCAGGTTACCCAGAAGCAGCAGTAATCGTTTAGCAGAGAGATATAGTGAGTCTCATTATCTTGTAGTGATAACTCCCCGCAGGGAGCCGCTGTTTGCCCGATCCACATCTAGTCAGTCTAGGGGGTTGATTTCCAGCTGCTCCCATTAGCACTGACCACCCTCTTCTGGTGCCCATAAATTGATGTCCACTTCAGTAGTATGATGCTAATTAAACAGTTTATTGAACATCTTCTTAGGGAGAGAGGGGGGAGGGGTTCTAGGTGTCTAGGGGTAACCATCCTTGGCTCCAGACTCACCGTATCTTGTGAAAGTAGCCATGCAGCTCCACAATCCAAGAAAGAAACACTGACCGTGCTCTGAAGTTCACATAGATCCAGGGCACTTCAAGAGCCCGTACTGGTCCCGGTTCTTTTCCTCTTTCCATCTCTCAGGCCTCCTCCATGTTGGAGGCCTCAGGGAAACATCTTCCCTCACTTCAGCCTACGCCCACCCCCAGGCCTCGGCCTAGCCTGGGGGGGGGGCAGGCTGAACAGGAACCAGCACTAATCCATGGCACACTCTTCCAACAGGCCCCACTGGCTGAGTGAAGCCTGGTAATTGGCTGCTGTACTGTACACATATTACTTTGGTTGTCCCACAATATGACAGATTCTTACTCCGCCCAGGGGGTACAGACAAGGTTGGACACCTGAGATTAACCATGTAATCGCCACTACAAATCCAGCCAGGCCGCCTACAGCCCCGGCTATCACTAAATGGATAGTAGTCACATCACAAAAGGTGATGGGCGCTACACTCACCCCTGCCTTTCAAAGACTTCGTCCTCGCAGTCTGGAGCATTTGCCACCCAAAGGAACTCTCCTCTGAGAGCAAGTACTCTAACAATAGTTGGATGGGAAAGGGAGGTTAGGAAGAGGTTAAACTTTTTAACAAATAGTGCTAAGTGTAATTTCAGAAAATATCACACACCATGTTATATCCATAACAATACAGTAGTAGACTAGAGGTTGTCCCTGGACCATAAGCCATCTTGTGACAACACTCTGACAATAAATGACTACCATAGTGAGCATAAAAGTAGAGCCCTACTTCTATCTGACTAACATAACAGTCCTTATCCTATACTTATAGAATACATTCCTATGCTATATCATATCACTGTACATTACTATCACTGAACATCCTACAACAGCTGATCTGGTCCTCACGTCGCTCCTGTTAAACGAGAAGAAAAGAACAGCAGCACATGCACATCACAGCGACATTATCTTGTATCTAAGTCCTATATACTATCCGTATATATCAGAGTATATACAATAATACACATTCTGTGACTACATTACCTCCTAATGTACAAGAGGCCAGAGCCTGACTCCCAAGAGAGTGAAACTCTGCTCCCACTGCATACAACCATATCTTTAGCTGTGGAGAACATGTTCAGCGGCTGATTCATATTCCGGCCAGAATATCCTCTGGACACGAAATTCAAGCAACAGATGAAGTATGTTGTAGTCCCCACCGGGACCATCTTGACACGTAGCCCTGAAGACCTATATACACCCTGCCTCAGCCGAAGCAGCAAATTAGTGTTTTTATACTACAATCCTACAAGCCCTATGCTATCTATCTATGACATGCCACATACATCAACAGTTAGCAACGATGAAAGTTCAGGTCTATTGTTCCCAAAAAAATAAGTAGGAACGCCAGACAACAAAAGAAATACAAAAAGAAGCAAAAACATGGTTCTTCTTGCTTTTGGCCAGTATTAAAGGGTCCTCGACGTATTGTGGCTAGCACTCTCTATTTTCCAAGAGAGCGGGGAGATACTTAGGAAGTGTTCTGAAAGCAGAGTTCTTACTCCCAAAAAACAAACACTGGTTCTTGGAAGAAGCATTGAGTGTGAGCACTCCTTACTTCCAGGTAATCATCAGCATAACCACTGTGCGTCACCCTCATCCTGCGTCCAGAACAGTAGAGGAATCATTAGTCTCTCCTAGGTGACAGAGAGTAGATGCCACTAAACACAGAAGTGATCTATACAGAGTCCTGACTTCTGGGCACAAATCTTAGTTACTTCATAAGTTAGAGGTAGTTAGGAGTGATATAGCATAGAGTCCTGACTCCTGGGTTCAAAGCTTAGTTAAGGTGCAAACTTATCCATCTAAATGTATTATTCATATTGTTCGCACGGGTCAACCAAAAAAATAGAAAAAAGGGAGAAAGAAGTAGAAAGCCTGAAGATTCTCACAGAGGTGGTCAAAAATAAGAGAGTCCTTCCCTCTGGACACACATCTTTTGCACGTTACAAACTTTAGTACAGCAGTTCTGTTACCCCTTACCAGTAGAATCTGGGGTCTGGTAGGGTAATGGACCTGTTCTCTTTGTCTATGGTGGTGACAAAATAAACAAAGTCCTTGTGGCCTGGTCTTTTTTTATGACCACTTTATCTTGATGGATGTGTCTCCCATAACTCCAGGTCAGTAGACACCCATCAAATTTCACATCTGTCCGAGTGCAACATCCAGGTTTCCTGTTGGGCTTGGGCACTCCCAGAAACTCCCATATGGCTTCCTTGATCCATCCTTCCCTCTGATCTTCTACCTCTTCCAACACCCATTGTGGAGCATAGGGATATTGGAATCCGTATTCCTGTTCCACCCTCCGGTGTACTACCCGCTGAGATCTAGCCAGCTTAGGTAGTTCTTTAGGGTTTCCTCCACCAGGCAATACAGGTGTCTCAGGGGATCTCTTGGTCTCTACCTGGGTAGCGTCAGTGCTTTACCCGACAATCAGGCCAGCTGGTGGTTCTGCGGACAGTCTGCTTGACCACCACATCCACAGTAACTTCCCCATGGTCAGAGTCTGAAACGGGATCCCCGAAAATCTAGTTCGGACCACACTGGGGCACTTTGCGTCTCAGTTGTAGGCAACACCCAGGGCTGACCCTCCTCTTCGGAACTTCTGTTCCAATCCTCCATGCTCAATTTGGAGACTGTGACAAGGGAGACAGTGCTGGATGACTGTGAGTGTAAGAGTCCAGGGCTTACTACGCATGCGCCAATGGCGCGTTGCCGCAAGAGGAAATCTGTGCCAACTGCGCATGCGCCAAAGACGCGTCAGTGCGACAACCCGCGCATGCGCAAAAGACCTGATGGAAAAAGGCAGGAAAATGCCCAGGAGGCGCACAGGAAGTGACCTCAACCTGATGGAAAAAGGCGGGAAAATGCCCAGGAGGCGCACAGGAAGTGACCTCAACCTGATGGAAAAAGGTGGGAAAATGCCCAGGAGGCACACAGGAAGTGACCTCAAACTTCAATCATTACTTCCCTATATAAGCCCAGCCCGGACACTGCCAAATTGCTGGATTATCTCATCGGCCGCCTCTGCACTTTGGTTCAGTCGAACCGAAGGGATTCTGTACGAGCTATTCACAATAGCTGGTGTGGCAGCCGAAGCGGGGAGAAAGGGAGAAATGCGGAGCCCATTTAAAAAAAAAAATTTCCATTAAAAATTGTGGCCCCGCTCACCCATGTGTTTATAAATCTAATTATAATCAATAGAGGTCTGTGATGACGGTCATGTACCTGCATAGTTGTTGCTACAGGGGGGCAAGGGGGAGCAATGTGTGCCCCCCACCCCCACGCTGATTCCCCTTTAAATCGGAGGCCCGCGTAGTGAATTTCGAACACCGGGACCCTGCACTGCCCCATATTGCAGGACCGGACCGCACTGAGACTGTGCGGCCCGGTACCATTTGATCCGCGGATCGGTACCGGTCCGCGGACCGGGGGTTGGGGACCACTGCTCTATACAGTTGACAGGAGTCAGTACCAGAACTACCAGGGTAGCAGCAATTGCTCTCACGCACAGCAGTGATGAGGGATCCCTCAGCCACAGTGTGCTGTACTTTTCCTTGACCTATAAAATTATTAGTGCCCCCCCAGTTTTGACTGTGGTATCTTATGTGCCCCCCCTATGTATTGTTCCTGGAGTCGCCACTGTGTACCTGTCTCTCTGCGCCGGCTTTGCTGGTTCTTACTGCTTTGTCTTTCAGGTTACAAGCTGCCTGCTGTTGCTAGGAAGATTTACCTCAGTGGCTGGACAGACCTTCAGTCAGCTGAGCACAGGATTGGTGACAGACTTTTGGCGGGAAAACAGCTGACCAATGAGTGTAACCTTTCCCCTCTATAGTCACTCCTGTCAGTGGGCGGGGTCAGCCATTACCTCAGGACTGCCAGCTGGATTCACCTCTCTCCCTTTTGGATCTTTTCACCTGCTCACAGCCCGGAATGGATCATTTACTTCAGAGGGCGGATTCTCCTGATGGGGGGACCGGCTCAGACATTTTAACTATTCCTGACTACAGCCGCCTCTTCCATTCCATCTGTGGCCCCTGCGCCCCTCATCCCTGATGTGTCAGCCTTACCCTGTGTACAGCATTGGGGCCTATACCTGAGGTCAGCCAGGAAACTCTTCATTTACCTGCAGGCGGTCTGGGATTTGTAGCGGGACCTTTGGGAGCAGCATTAGGACTGTCATCTGTGACTA